ATTTTAATAAGTATTGATTGTATTACGAGTGTCATAAATTGCTAACACCAAATTTACCCCTCTCTCCCATTTCAAAGACATCAAGCCATCTACTAATGCATAAATATTGATGTTTCACATACTTCACAGAGTAGCCTAAAACATACCAGCATAAGAAATAATTAGTATTACATAGTAATTTCCTTTGCCATAGGAATAAATGTTGGACAAAGTCTGGAAACATTTTATTTTCCAATTTGAATTACAGTAATTTTGCCACAGACCACAGCACTAGTGCATGTGTTACTTTAGACATGCTCTAAGAACAAAACAAAAATTACTGCAAAAATACATGTCACCAATGTGGAACACACTCAGATTTGTATAAAAGTACTGAACTAATATCCCAAAAAGAGGTATATGTAAACAGTACATAAGGAAGAAATAGTTTTAATATGAAACAATTATTTAAGTCACATACATCATGATAAGAAGCAGGACTTTCTTTTATAAAAGATAATATTTTAACTAACAAGCAACATCTTCTACACACCTACAGAACAAGAAAGGTACAGGTATTTAAAGTAAGTTTTAATACAATTCCAAGTAATGTATCATTGATAAAATATGACAAAGATGAAGCTTATCCATTGGGTTTCATTAAAAGTTTTGAATTAAATACAGACAGCCTATAATGTGTTAATGCCTGGCATAACATGGCCACTTCCTCCCCCGGCCTCTTTTTTTTTTTGAGGCATAGACTTGCTCTGTCACCCCAGGTAGAGTGCAGAGGGGTCATCGTCATAGTAGTTCACTGCAACCTCAAACTCCTGGGCTCAAGCAATCCTCCTGCCTCAGACTCGCAACTAGCTTCGACTACAGCGCCTGGGACTACAGGCACATGTCATACCTGGCTAATTTTTCTATTTTTATTAGAGCCAGGTCTTGTTCTTGCTCAGGCTGGTCTTGAACTCCTGCCTTGGCCTCCCAGAGTGCTAGTATTATAGGGCATGAGCCACCGCGCCCACCTATTTTTTTCTCTTTATTTCTGCTAGACCACAAGACTTGGAAGATGTTAATGCTCGCCTCCTTGCTCCACGGGTGCCTCCAATTCCCATCACTGTACTACCATGAATTGGAAAATGCAGATGTTTTATACTGCTCTTTTGGATAAACGGAAGAGAGAGAGAGAGGGAAGCTATAATACTAAAATTTGGAAATGAGAAGAAAACCTCTGAGTTCAGAATTAGAGGACAGGAAGCTGTGAAAAGTCAAAATAATCTGAATGAAATTGGAAGTACTCTCAAGATAGTACCAGCTAATTTGCTAAAAATACTGCTTCCCGTGGTGTCTGAAATGTACTCATATTGTCTGAAATGTTAGATATTAAAGAGGCTTTCTGAACTAATAAACATCCTTAAAAAAAAAAAAGAAATTTAATGCCACTTTCTCCACGATCTTCATTCTCATCTTAGTGGAAAATGCTTTTCTCTTGAAGTCTAGCCAACCATTGCCACACGAAGAAACAGGATTTCTAACCAGAGGAAAGATAAGAAATGTTGAAGCAAAGAGCCTTCAGGAGGAGAAAAGACAAGCCTGCTTACATAGCATTCCACCAGAGTGTAGGATGGTAAGAACAACTGGGAAATAACCCACTCCAAAGAACTTAACCTTCCTAATCACACCAGGAAAAAGGAAAGAACTGTTTCTTTCCCTTCCTACATTGATTGGTTCCCTAAAGAAAACCGAGAGCTCACTATGATATTAACAGTTAACTATATTATGGTTTAAATAAACCTTTATGAGCCTCCCTATTATATAGAGTTCCAAGCCACTATTTACAAATGAACTTTGGGAGCCTAGATACTTTTAAACGTTTTTAATTTAAAATTTTTTTAAATAGCACAAATATTCATGCATATGAAACCTCTGTACATTACAAAAAGAAATCCAAAACTTTTAGGGACTCCCTTTAAAGAAATCATTGCTTATATATTTCTCACTATTGAATACAATTACTAAGCACATTGGACAATAAGTACCAGCATCTAATTAGTTCAAGACAAACAAGTTTGAAAGATACTAGATGAAGACTCTTAACATTTACTTGAATGATTAAAGTCAGCAGATTTCATGGTGATCCATACTCATAACTGAGTTCTTTTCTGCCACTAGGCAGAGTTGGGAGTCTTAAAAAAACACCAAAACACTGGATTTCTTTATGTTTATCTATGAAGAATAGCACTCGTATTAGAAAATATTCAGTTTATGTATATAACTTTCTAATTTGGATAACAAGAATCATAATAGCAGTAAAGTATTTCACACAAAAGAGCACTGATCACAAAACTAATTCTAAGCACTCTCTCTGAAGAACGATTTTCTTTCACAAGCTAAGCTGTTCAATATTAACCGGTCCAGTGACATCTAGAGACATGTGGATCAGGAATTCTCTAGTGAATGAACAAATCAAATTCCGAGAAAGGATCTGATGCTTTAAAACTTTTCGTCAGTAACCCGGCCTTGGTGAGTGAGCCTAGATGCTGATAGCCAGGTTGAACTTGAGAATGTAGGAGAAACTCCAAGATTTCCTGCTCAGTTGTGGGTGTCTGTGTGCCTTTGTATGTATTTGCACATATGAGGCCTTTCAGTGAAGGAAAAGGATTATTACAAAAAAGGCACAATTATACCTGTATTTCTTTCCATCACTGAATATTTCTAAAGTTGAGGGCACTTTATCATTTGTCCTAAAAAAGTCTATTTGTATAATAGCCTTCTTTGGGCCGAATTGGACAAATTATTATCTGGCCATACTTATAGTTCATCACTTTTCCTACCCAAAAGCATCTATATAACTTTTGACTTAGTTTTATAGAGACAAATATGGAACTAGTAAGAAAATTAATTCAAACACATGGAAACATTCATCAGCTATGATTATAGTTTAACTGTGATTCACTGTCAGAATCAACCATGGGTTTTTCTTTGGAATATTTACAGATTGTTATTTAAGTAAGGTGCGTTGAAGACCTACCTAAACACTTGAATACAAATTCATCTGTTTAAAAACAACTACTTGGAAATAGAAAATGAAAGAATCACACGACAAACCAAGTATCTTTAGACTAACTTGGAAGATGTTATTTCATTTTCACAAAAACAGCTAACTACTGAAACTGCAAGCAATAAAAGGTTTAAAAAACTACATAATCAATTTTAGTAATGAGCACAACTCAAGTACTACCATGTAAAGTGTTAACTCCTGAAAACATTGGAAGGTTCTACTCACAATATATTTCTAGCTCTGTTCAGTCATAAGAAATTATGATCTGATGCTTAGATTGAGCACATAGCATGCAGTGCATCATTTATTAAAAATCAGCACTCACTAGAATTTCAAGAAAAACATAACTAGGTCCTTAAACATTTAGAAAATTATGTATATCTAACAAAAATTATGATATAAGTAAAATGGGATCTTCAAGTATGCTACTGAACACCATCAAAAATGTCTGACTCAGCCAAAATTACTACATTTTTACCTGCTTCTACTGGTAAAGCTGTCACACAAAGGAGTACCTAGTATTATAGTTCATATCATTTTGTTTCCTAAAATTTTAAAGATACATATTTCACAACTATTGAAAATATTTTGTACTCACCTCTAACTAGTCAAGGGTAAATGGAGAAAACCTTGTATTACCTTGTACCATATGAAATTGCTGTTTTTATAGGTCAAAATTAAAAACACTGTATTTAAAAAAATAAGTTTTATTCAATCAAAATATGCATCAGGAGCATTAATAGTTTTCTTCCAACAGAATAGTAAATGTTTAATTTTTATAAAATTCATCATTTGTTAGACTGTATAAATTGTTCAGATTCTCCAGTTACTACATCTCAATTGGGGAAATATGTTGTTTCTTAGAAAAAGCTCCAAATGATAAAGATGGTAGTCCACTGGTTAAAGGTCCAGTGACTACAATGGATGTGACAAAATTTCATAGCCCAAGTCAATTAACTTTGCTTTAGTGGCTTATGACACGTGAAGTCGAGTCCTGTCACGTAAAAGTATAGTTTCATGTTTATTAACCAAAGGGAGTTGTTTTTAAATAAAAAAATTTCATGATTTAAATTTCTTTTTTTTTCTTTTTTTTTTTGAGACAGAGTCTCACTGCGTTGCCCGGGCTAGAGTGCCGTGGCATCATCCTAGCTCACAGCAACCTCAAACTCCTGGGCTCAAGCAATCCTTCTGCCTCAGCCTCCCGAGTAGCTGGGACTACAGGCAGGTGCCACCATGCCTGGCTAATTTTTTCTATGTATTTTTAGTTGTCCAATTAATTTCTTTCTATTTTTAGTAGAGACGGGGTCTCGCTCTTGCTCAGGCTGGTTTCGAACTCCTGAGCTCAAACAATCCGCCCGCCTCGGCCTCCCAGAGAGCTAGGATTACAGGCATGAGCCACTGTGCCCGGCCTAAATTTCTTGACAATATGCTGCTGCTGTCATTGTTTCACGTGGGTTTAAATAGTAGTAATTAATTATCCCTTTCACAGATGACAATACAGTCTTCAGAATTTTGGTCACAATAATAATGGTGTCAACATATTAGGGAACTTCACCAGCATCCAATCATTGTATAAATTGCTATCAATTGTCAAACAGTATTTGCTTTTTGTAGCCACAGATAACCTGCTCCAAAAATAGGTTTCTGCTGTTTTGAATTTTAATGAGCATACCTCCAACTGTTTCCATTCTTGATCATCTCTCAAGAGGGTACTTTCAGGTCCATTTTTACACTTTCCCCAGTCATGGCGGAAACTCCTTAAGACTGCTACAAGGTCTCGTATTGCTCTTTGTGAGTTAGCTTTCACCTTGGCTTAATTATCTTTGTTTAAAATGGATTTTGATCTCCCCTGAGGTTCATTTTGGAAATTCAGATCCCCAGAATAAGATTTTTCAAACCATCACTGAATAGTTCTTTGCTAGCAGAACCCTCTAAGGACAAACTGATATTTCTACCTTCTTCGTTTGCAATACGTCCCAGTTTAGAATCATATTTTTAAAAAAGTATTCACAATTCTTTTGAGGATACTATAGTATTTATTTCTCTGGAAAACAATAAACAATAACAGCTCAGTATCAAAATTAAGAGCATACTTCTAAACAGCACAACTGGAAACATACTTTATGCCAACTTTACTAATTGCAGTCAATTTTCAATTGATCTGGTATTAGCAATTTCATGTGGTACAATCCCCAAGTTAATCAACAAATACTTACTGAAGATTTACTATATGCTAAGATCTGTCTCATAGCTGTACAAACAGATATCCTGGACACATTCATGTGAAAATATGAAATTCACTAACCCAAAGACCCTAGTGGTGGAGAAATCTGATGTCATATTCTATTATTTAAAATCCATTAAAATGTATGCTTTCCCCCATATTACAACTACGTATGTTGTGAAAACATGTTAAATGGATCCTTAAAAAACTTTCTGAACTAAATGTTTAACGTGGTACGGTCAAAGTTCAGCACTAAAATATACATTTTTCAATGATTCTAACTTTTAAAAGTTTAAACTTGCCTACATTATATATTATTTTGAAGCTTTGAGAGGCTTTTATGTTTATGATAAATAACAACTAACATTTACTTACAAATGTTTCTAAAGCACCTCTATATACATTATTCTCATTTAAGATAGCAGACAAAAACAATACAAAATTTGTTCTAGTAATGAAGTGGAATATTAATAAAAACCAAAAGGTAAATGTTTTTGTGTGTGCTTTTAAAAAAATAATGTAAAACATTAAAATCCTGTGTCACTGAAGCTCTGTAACACACAGGAAAAGAAACCCACTTTAGTTAATGCCTGCGATTAAGCGTCACTACCCACCGTAGGTGGACCAAAAGTTTCTCTAGTGCGCATTAATTGGACATCTTTGTCAGCCATACAGGTATCACAGCCCCATACTGCTGATGCTTCTGCAGTTAGGAGGCCATAAGCTGTTTCAGTCATCCCAGTACAGATCCGATGAAACCATTTCTGACAAGAGGCCTCACATAAGATGGCATCCTGATCATCATTCACTTCGTTTGTACAAATTCCACAAGGATACACTGGGTCAGACGACGAATGACCATGACGGCTTGGGTGGAGGGAGGACTTATTGCTTTTTTCAGTGGTGCACGTATCTGTTGCACTTCTTGGTTGTCGTGGCTTATTCTGCGTACCATTTGCATGGCTGTTGTTTGTTGCTTCAGTGCTGCTTGACCGACTGTTGTCTTGATTTACTGCATTGTTTCGATTAACAGTTTTTAATTCAATATTACTCTGATTCACTGTGTCATCCATATTTAAGTGAGGTGGATGAGCAGAGGAATTTTGATTAGTGTTTTTGGTTGCTCCTTGACTAAAGTCTTGTTTTGGGGGTGGTGCTTTTGCTTGACCAAAAGTGTTTGGAGGAGGAATAAAAGAATGATTGGATTCTAATGGAGAAGTAAAATTTGAATTATTTCCAGGAACAAAATTAGATGCCAAATCAGGGTTAGAAACCTGACTAGCATTCTGTGGAGGAATCTGACTGAAGTTTTCGGCAGGATTTTGTCTAAAATGTTGATTAGGCATGTTAACATTCTGACTTAGTGCATTATTGTAAGATGGATTTCCAAAACTTGAATTATCATGTGGCCCAAAATTAAAAGCATGAGGTCGATTAAAACCCATGCCCAGAGGATTCTGAGGAAATGGGTGTGGCTGATTCCTGAGTGAGTAAGGACCACAGTATGGGGAAGACATTCTTGGGGGAACGTGAGGTGGCATTCTGAATGTGCTATAGCCTCCAAAGCCAGGATAACCAGGGCCAAGATACGGATTTGCCGAAGGTAGTGGTTTATAGGAAATAGTATTATAGTTGTCATCAAATGGATTAGCAGCCACTAGATGGTCAGAGTTTGGATTCGGTGGTGGAGCATACTCAGACAACGGAGGAAAAGAAGGTCCCTGAAATGAGAATGTAAAGTAATTTATGTTTTTGATCAAAAAAGTCATTAAAATTGTCCTTTTATCTTAATACCTATGAACAGGGTTTTAATCAAATTTCTCTTGCAGTGTTACAAAAATTTAATTTCTTCACTTGACCTTTCAATTATGATTAATGTTTATATTTAATTACACTTAATGATAAAAATATGTAGGTTTTTTTTCATTTAGGAAAGAAAATAAAGTACTATTTTCTGAGCTCAAATTCATCATTACTTCAAACCCCAAAATATTTAACTTTCAAAAGAAACTTCATTATCATAATTTTAATTGAATAGGCTTACCTATAACTCTAGAACCTTTCACTTAAAATACTAGAGCATTCTAACCACATCCTAACCATCACCAAAGAGTAAAATTAAATAATGATAAACAGGATCTAAATTTTTTTGCCTATCTTAACTTTAGGGAGACACTATTAAAGTATTCCCAAAAACACTAAGCTCTACGTCTCACACTGGAAAAATAAACTGCCAGTTTTAATCACACTGCAAGTTTAACAGATGGTGGCCAAAACGGAAAAAAAAAGTAATCTATATACACATCATACTTATCCATAGCCTTTATCATAAAAAGAATGTTTCAAATTTACAGAGAATAAAACCATAAAAACCTGTATGTATAATTGCTTACTGTAATTACAAGTTAGAACAAAAGATGCCTCCATCATGACTGCTTTAAGATCCAAACATAATATTGAATTAATATAATAGCTGGACATTATTTCAGGTTAAAATTATTTCTATACATTTTAAATCTTTTAATAGAACTATAGGAGGCATTTATGCTTCTTAAAAACCTTTAAATTAAATTTAAGAACAAGCATTTTAATTTTTCTGTGCATACTTTCTTCTTGCAATATCTACTGTAGGGATACAGTCCAACAATAGCCACTGGTTGCAGACTGAAAAATAAAATACAATCATGCAGAATTCACTATTAGATTGTGAGTGAGGACAGAAAGCAAAACCCATTATCAAATTTAAATTTACTTCATCAACCTGATCATACCAACAAAAAAAATTGTTATTAAAGAAAATGGCAATTTACCTGTGTATTTGCCTTGCGTTTTTTCTTATCTGGGCTTCCTAATTGTACACCTGGTCCTCCTAACCCATCCAGTCCACTATCACCACCTAAAAAAAATCCAGATAGTATTTCCACTTGTAAGTGAAGTAACTGTATATCTCTCACAGCAATATCTATTATATTTACTTGTTTATATGTTTTATATTTTTGCTAGATAAAAGCAATACTAAGTTTTTATTATATTTGTTTTCCAAAAGTCTTTCTAATAGTTTTAGCCAGAAACAGTCACTCATCTCTGCTCCCATATTTATTATTTTTTTAGTGAAAAAGGAAGTCTGTCTCCCACCCTCAAATCTTCAGTCATCTAGGTTCCCTGTCTCTGAGACCACCACTATTACTAGTTTCTGCTCTATCTTTCCAATGATAATCAAAATATATTCAAGTATATCTTTTTGGGGTGGGGACACAAATGACAGACATTCACTGGTTTGTACCTTGCTTTCTTACTTGGAGATCATTCCATATCACTATCACTTTATTCTCTAATAACTGAGTAGTATCCCATAGTATGACTATACCATAATTCATTAAACCCCTTTGTATTGATGGATATTTAGGTTGTTTCCAAACTTTTGCTGTTGCTGCAATGAAAATCCACGTATTAACATCTTTATGTATATGTACAAGTAATTCCTGGAACTGGAATTATGGCATTAAAGGTATGTGACTTTTAATTTTTAAAGATATTGTTAAAATGCAACAATGTTTCCAAGTATTATTTTCTTAACAGTCTATGATCAAGGAAAGCAAAAGCTTGACTGCAAGTCTAAGAAGTTAAAAAAAGTTTATCAATGGAATTTTTTACATTTTTAAAAAACCATTTATTATGGGCTGGGCGTGGTGGCTCATGCCTGTAATGCTAGCACTCTGGAAGGCCAAGATGGGAGGATCGCTTGAGCTTAGGAGTTCAAGATCAGCCTGAGCAACAGTGAGAAACCATCTCTACTAAAAATAGAAAAAATTAGCTGGGTGTGGTGGCATGCGCCTATAGTCCCAGCTATTTGGGAGGCTTGAAGCAGGAGGATCGCTTGAGCCCAGGAGTTTGAGGTTGCTGTGAACTAGGCTGACGCCACGGCACTCTAGCCTGGGCAACACAGTGAGACTCTGTCTCAAAACAAAAACAAAAACAAAAACAAAACAAAACAAAACAAAGCTTTTATTATGGAGAATTCTGAACATATAAAAAAGTAGAAAGAAAAAGTAAAATTAACTCCATATGTCCACTACCCAGCCCTAAAAACCATCAATACATGGTCAATCTTGTCTCTTAAACCCTGCCTCCACTTCTCTTCCTCCAGTACTATTTTGAAGCAAATTTCACACATTGTATTTTATCTATAAATATTTCAGAATGTATCTCTAAAAGCTACACACACACACACTACAGTGCAATTCTCACCCCTACAAAAATTAACAATAATCCCTTCATAACATTTAATGCCCAATCCAAATATCTCATATTTGCTATGCTTTGTTTAGATTGGGATCCAACTATGGTCCATATATTATAATTGGTTGATATATCTTTTGATATATTTCTCTCCATCACTTTTTTCCTTGCAATGTATTAACTGAAAGAACTGGGTTGATTATTGTCCCAACTATTGAACTATAGTCTTTCAGCTCTGAACCCATTCTTAGTGATGCTGGGACTGGGACTTCGCAAATTACATTTTTCTTTTGCCATGCTCTTCCAAAAGGAGCTCTAGAAGGATACTAGAAGGCTAGGGGAAGTGAGAAGGGAATTTCTACTCCTACTGTCTGCTTGCTCTTCTTGTCTCTGTCACCTCAACAACAGGCCTTCTTTCTGGCACTGGCAGTTCATTCCAGTTTTGAGCTTTTATTTCCTCCCTCCCCTAACGAGCTTCAACATATCCCCTCAGGGGTATTAGTACCAGCTGGGTGCACCTCAATCTCAGAGTCTGAGTTCAATCTCTACAAGGCCTCTCCTCCAACCTTTTAAGTTCTAACAACCTGAACTTCTTGTCTTTGTTCACTAAGCCCTAGATGTAGAAGTGGCTTCCTGTACTTACTTCTCCGTGTTACCTCACTTTTTGCTTTTTCAGTTCTTCAATATCTGTTTAACCAATTCCTTATACAAAATTATATTATAAATTAAAATTAAATTATGGGTGTGGCTTATGGTTTTCTGCCTGGAATGTTTGATATATCTGGATTTTGCTAATTGTATCCCTTGGCATAGTTGAATATGTTCCTTATTTCCTGTAAATTGATGTTGGATCTAGACCAGAGGCTTGATCAGACTCAGGTTTCTGTTTCTGCAAGATTCCTTCACAGGTGATGGTCTGTTCCTCCATCAGAAAGCACATAATTTCTGATTGTTTTTCTTTATTAGTTTTCTATTATTGTGTAATAAATTACCACATACTTGGCCACTTGAAACAATACCCATTTAAATAGAAGGAAATACTACCTAACTCCTTCTATTAGGCCAGCATTACCTTGACACCAAAGCCAGACAAAGATATCACAAGAAAAAAAAATAAAAACAACTAAAACAAAAAACTACAGACCAACATCTCTTAGGACTACTGATGCAAAAATCCTCAGTAAAATACTAGCAAACTGAATTCAGAAGAATATTAAAAGGCTAACACATCATGACCAAGTGGGATTTTTCCCAGAAATGCAAGAATGATTCAATCAATCAGAAAATCAATCAAATTAATATGCCATACTAATAAAGGGGAAAAGCACATGATCAACTCAATAGATGCAAAAAAGCATTTCACAAAATCTAATAACTTCTCTTAATAAAAACCACTCAACAAACAATGAAGAAAGGGGGAACGTCCTCATCCTAATAAAGAACATCTAGGAAAAACCCACACCTAACAGCATGCTTAAGGGTAAAAGACTGAAAGCTTCTCCCTAAGATCAGGAACAAGATAAGTAAATCTCCTATTCAACAGTGTGTGTACTTTTAAGTTCTAGACAGAACAATTAGGCAAGAAAAAGAAATAAAAGGCATCCAGACTAGAAAGGAAGAATTAAAATTATCTCTGTGTCCTCTACATATAAGATCATGTCGTCTGCAAACAGAGATAATTTTACTTCCTCCTCTCCCCTCCCACCTGCCTGACACCCGATGAGTGTTGCCTCCATACATTCACATAGTGTTGATCAATTAGTACCAATTTGATGGTGAGTACATGTGGTGCTTGTTTTTCCATTTTTGTGATACTTCACTTCGGAGAATGGGCACCAGCTCCATCCAGGATAATACAAGACGTGTTAGTTCACCATTGTTTTCCTGTGTCTGAGTAGTACGCCATGGTATACATATACCACATTTTATTAACCCACTCATGTATTATTGATTGATGGGCACTTGGGTTGTTTCCAGATCTTTGCAATTATGAATTGTCCTGCTATAAACATTCAAGTGCAGATTTTTTTTTT